CACCACTCCCCAGTTATCTCCGAAGGGGCCTGGCAGAGAGGGGGGGGCAAGATGAGAGTCAGGAGTCAGCTCCAACAGACCCAGGTGGAGAATCCCAGCAGCACAGGGCTCCCCCACATGGCAACCATGTCACACAGCCTCCCTCACACACCCCCTCTGACCCATCAGTTCCCACCCAACTCTTCCCGCATTTCTCATCCCCTCCTATAGAACAGCTTGCAGTGATGTGACGCTCCCAGTGACGCCAGGCATGGTGCTGTGGCTTCCTGTGTTATTTCTGAACCTTTCAACTCTACAAGGTGGATATTACTACCACCACCTACAAATAAGAAAAGTGGGGCAAGACCCAAGGCCACACAGTTCCTGAGCATCTAGCTGGCTGGAAGCCTATATTCTTTCCAACACATCACGCTTGGACATAAGAGGGAAGACAGCAAGAGGAAGAAAGTGTTCTGGGAAGACTAACCCAGCCTCTCCCCACCTCAATGCCTCAATCATGCATGTGGACTGACTTATGTTGTTATTAAAAGGGCCACTTTCATCATGTCTCTGTACCCCCATGGAATCCAGTCCCACGGTTTTCCCAGGCATTTAAGGTTCCCTATGGACCACTTTCCTATTTTATTCCCCCATCACCACACTCAAAACCTCCTTCCAGTTAGCCTGGCCTATCCCTCATACTTTCCTGCATCTCAGTCTCAGAGGTTTCCTTCCTTACCTGCAACATTCATTCATTCCTTCCACCAACACACAACAGTGCTACCCACATTCCAGGCCCTGGCATCCAAACAGGAGGTCTCTATAGTCACAGAGCTGGAGTCTACCCTCCTTGTGAAGTTAGCTCCCTCCTTGTGCTTTCCTGGGTCCTTCTCTGATCACTAGGTGCCCACTACCTGCCCTTATCCTGAATCCCCAGCAGTCAGCACTTGCCATTCATATGGCACTCAGACATACCTCCACCCAATGTGCCGTGTGTGCCAGGTCTGTTTTCAAGACTTCCTTGGTAATGTGTTTATTTCTGTGGGAAAAATGTACTCCAGGTTCCAAACAGCATTATAAATGGCAATTAGGTCCCCAGGCCAGCCCACAAAAATCTACTAAATATATAATGATCCCAGAGAAGAACAGAACCTAAGTGAATGCACCTTAAAAGTCTGCAGGACAGACAGAGGCAAACTTCTTTCTCTTGCATCTCCACACACTGTCCCCTGGTCTGAGCTTAGACCTACCTCAGAGAAGCAGGCAGGACTAGGAAGACAGAGGAGTGGGAAGACATGATTTACAATTCAGCAGGACTGGCTCTATTCCCAGCTCCACCCTTACTAAGTGGGTGGTTGTGAGGGAGCCCCTTCCCTCCAGAAGCCTCACTGTTCCCTCATAAAATAACAGGACAGAGGGGCTAAGGGGATGGCTCAAGTGGCAGAGGGCTTGCCTAGCATGCATGAGGCCCTGGGTTCATCCCCAGCACTGCAAAATAAAATAAAATAAGAGGACTGAACAAGATCAGTTCTCAGACTTCTGAATCTTGTGGACTATAGTTTTAAAATATATTTGTAAATATACTATCTGTTAAATATTTTTTAAATAAATGTATCAAGAGTGAACTTTCTAATAAGAAATCACAATATATTTCCACCAGTTTCATTTAAAAAAAAAAACAAACAAACAAACACCGAAGACTCACCCAAAATATGTACATCGAATAAAAAATAGACAGGTGGCACAGTGTTGGGGATCAAATCCAGGGCCTCATGCATGTAACTGAAAATACCTGGACTTATGGGGGAAAAAATTTCACTGTTGTCATTTTCTAATTTGTAAGAAGACCAGTGAACACATGGCCATAGCCCAGCTCTAGTCCTTGACCTGCCATTTGGGAATCACTGAGCTGGGAGACCCCTAGAGTACTTTCCAGCTCTGATACGCCATTTCTCCTATGGACTGGACTGCCAGCAAGCATAGACCTAGGTGAGAGTCATTAGCAGGGAAGAGAGATCAGGATAGCAGGAACACCCTGCAAGCTCTTAGGCTAACTTGTCTCAGGTGCTGCTGTGCCATTTCCACCTGGGGATTCTTCTGGAAGGCAGAAGAAAGGCCTTCAAAGAAGCCTTTTTAAAAAAAAATCCTTTTCTGATTATGAAGTAATATATGTTTATAAGAAAAACACAAGAAAGCATAAGCAAAGAGGTAAGTAAAAGTCACCCACCACTCCACCTTCCAGAACAATCACTGTTAATATTTGATACAATGCATGAACAGGACCAGTATCCTTAAAAGGGACCTAAGAGTGCTCTCTAGTCCTCTTTGTGCCACACAAGAAGCCAGCAGTCACAGACAGGAAGAGGGCCCTCCCTACAACCTGACCATGCTGGCACCCTGCTCTTAGACTTCCAACCTCAGAAGTGTAAGGAATAAGTCTCTGTTACAAATAAGTCCCCTGTTTATGGCATATTTCTTAAAGGTGCCCAAACTGACATTACTCTCCACACAATAAACGGGGCCAGATGTTATTTAACCCCACCTCTACTGTTGAGCATTTAAGCCATTTCCATATTTTTGCTACTATAAAAAATGTGGGTGCTCATGGAGGTACACAAATCTCCGTGGACAGACACTTTTATATAGTAGCTCCCCATTGTCCAAGGGTGATATGTTCCACGACCCCAAATGGATGCCTGAAACCACAGCTTGTACCAAACCTTAATATATACACCATTTTTTATATGCACATACCTCTGATAAAGTTTAATTGATAAATTAGGCATAAGAGATTAACAACAATAATAATATAACAGAATGAGTATAACTATACTCTGATAAAGTTATGTGACTATAGACTCTCACTCAAAATACCTGATGTACTGTATTCACCCTTCTTGTTGACAGGGGATGACTAAAGCTATTCAGAAAGTGAAACTGTGGATGGGGGGAGGGGGTAGGTAACTGTACCACCTTTATATCCCTTGGGTCACAGCCCAGTGCTGTGCACATATCAGCCCTCAGTAAATATTGAGTGACCAAATAAACCCAGTCCTCTCCCAGGCACCCGGAGGCACTTATCAGATCCACGCAACTTTTAAATTTACAGAGGTGTAACCCCAGCCCCAACAGCCACTCATCATTGTCCTCACAGGCTCACTCCTTGCACCTTGCACCTGCTAAACCAAGTCTAAGTTCAGAGGGAAAAGAAGATGTGAATTGCCAACTCAGGACTCCCAGCTTCTAGTGCTCTGGGCAAACCTCCCTCCTCTTCCACACCACCAGGGAGGGCATCTGCAGACCTCCACTGCCTAGCCAACACCCATACTTCCTCCAGACTGCTCAGCCCATCTCAGGAAGGCCCATGACTGACCCTCCCTCTAATTTAAAGCATGGTTCCCATTCAGTGGAGGCTACCAGCAGTTAGGGTATTAGCAGTAGCACTTCTACAAACAAGACTGACTCCTGCCCAGCCCAGAGCAACACCAGAGGGCAGGCACAACATGTATTTTGCAACCCACCCAAAATCCAACCCTGTACCAAGTACTGCAGTTGATAAATGTTTAGTGAATGAAACTTTATAGACAACCAGGGCCTTTGTTTTCACAGGAGAGAGGGAAAAGGGAAGAAAGTGCAACCCCTCAAAAAATACACAGGAGAAAACTTGATAGGGTCAGGAAGGAGATGGCCTCATCCCCTGCACAGTCATGCTGGCAGGGAGACCAGCCCAGACCAACTGTCTCCAGGGAACAGATAGCAATCAGCCTGCAGCACACCCAGATACAAGGAAGGGACAAAATCCACTGCAGGCCAGTTCTGTCCCAGAGGGAGAAAGCAGAACAGAGAACCGCGAGCTTCTTCCCCCGCCCCCCTAACTTCCAGACATCCAGAAAATACAAGCCACTCCTCACTGGTTATCCCAAAGGACCCGGCATTGGGAGATGCAGGTGTTTAAAGCCACTCCTTCACACTCTCTTCTCTCAGGTGCCCAGCATCCTTGCCACATCCAAAGGAAAAAAACTGAAAATGCTGGGTTGGCAAGAGTGCCAGTGGCAGGAAGTTCCCTACAACTTAGGGGTGGGGGGAGCGCAGATTGGTCCTAACATAAGGGAGGCCAAAGTTATGGAAAACATGTGGAAGAGGGCCCCACAACATCCCATCACACACCCACAGCAACACCGAAGCCTGAGGTCTCAGCCCTCAGGGCACACCCATTCCGACCTCTCTGGGGGATGCCTTGGAAGCCTCCCAAGTGTGGCAAATTCCCTCAGGCAGCCCTCCATTCCCAGCATCCTGACCCACCCCTCCTGCACTCTTGTAGGATTTTGCAGTTTGCAGGCCTTTCTCCTCCGACCCTCTGACAACCTTGTTAGAGAGGTATCTTTACTGTCCCCATCTCATGGATGAGGCGCCTCAACACACGTAAGATGGTCCGCGGCGCTGCAGCTGTATAAAGTGGCCGGGGCTCGAGCCGGCGTCACCAGGAGATCTGAGAATAAGTCCAGGGACACGGGGGACGGAGGGGTGGGGGGACGACCCCACCCAGTCGGCTGACCCTGGCCGCAGTTTCACAGCCGCCTAGGATCGAAACTGAGAACCACGGTGGCACTAAAACAAGGTTTCCAGCAACGCAGGTGTAAAGCACCCCATCCCACCCGGCACTCACACAGGTGCAGGGCCGGGTGTAGGGCGGGGCACGCCCCCAGCCGGTGAGTGTCCCGCCTAGCTGGTGGCGCCCCGGACCTGCGCCCCCGCAAAGTTGTGCGTCTACGCAAGCACCCTGTGAGGGATCGCAGGGCGCCCAGGGCTGCTCCGGGACCCCGCGCCAGAGATCGCCGAGCGGGGAGCCATGGTGACCGCCCGCCTGGCCACCCGGCCCCTGCCTGCCCGGCACGCACGCCCTCGTTCCGGTGCCCAGAGGCGGCTCCCCTCCACCCCGGGAAAGCCGGGAGCCGAACAGCACGCGGGACGCACGTGCCGGCCCGGCCCGACCCGCCCGGACCCGGGACCTACGGCCTTACCCAGATCGCCAGCAGCAGCCCCCACGCCGGCCCGGCCCGTGCCATCCCCGCCGCCGCTGCCCACGGGGGGCTCCGGTCTCCACTCTGGCTCCCGCGCCCGCTAGCTCCGCCGCGGCCAACCACCACGGCCACTTCCCAGCCGCTCCCCGCCTCCGAGTTCCCGGTGCCACGTCTGCCAAAGCATGCGCGCCTGGCTGGGAGGGGCTGTGGGACAGGGGCTTGCCGGGAGTTGTAGTTTGTGGCTGTGCCAACTTGGCCCGAGGGTGGGGGGCGGGGGGGCGCAGCAGCTGGAGTGAGCGCGGCAAAGCAGCGGAGTAGGGAAGGTAATTAACTTGGGGCCCTTATCCGTGCCTCGATCCTCAGATTCAATCTCACTCCGCTCACAAAAGTTATATTTCCCCCACTGCAGGATTAGGAAGCAGCCCAGAGAATTTGTCATTTGACTTGCAAATTTAACGCGGTTTCTGGCGGATTGGCAAAGTCCTATTCTCTGCCTCTCAGTCCCCCACTTACCTCCTCTTTCCTCCTTCGGAATAATTTTATTGAACTGTTGGAAAACAGGTGGTTCCTTAAAAAGTTAAACATAGATTACCATATGATCCAGTCACTCCCTAAGCATACACTTAAAAGAACTGAAAAGTGGTGTTCAAGCCCAGTAGGGGTGGCACAGGCCTGTAATCCTAGTTACTTGGGAGGTTGAGATTGGGAGGACTGAAGTTTGAGAAAAGCCCAGACAAGTAGTTAGGGAGACCCCATCTCCAAAAATAACCAGAGCAAAGAGTGCCTGTTTTGCAATCGTGAAGCCCTGAGTTCAAACCCCAGTCCCACCAAAACAAACAAACAAACAAAAAAAACTTGTATTCATTGTTCATAGCAGCACTGTTTACAATAATCCAAAAGTAGAAACAACCTAAATGTCCTCAAAAGATGAATGAATAAGCAAAATATGATATAGCCATAAGAAGGACGGTTATTCAGCCATTAAAATGAATGAGGCCCTAATGCTACCATGTGCTCAAAGACATGCTAATAAAAAAAGCCAGATACAAAAAGGTCACATATTGCATGACTGCATCTACATGAAATATCCATAATAGGTAAGTGATAGAAACAACAAGCAGGTTGGTAGTTTCCTGGGGCTGGAGAGAAGAGGAAATGGGGAGAGGTTGTTTAATAGGCACAGGAACTCCTTTGGGGGTGGTGAAAGAATTTTGGAACTAGATAGAGATAATGGTTGCAAAACATTGTGAACATACTAAAGTTCACAGAATTGTCCACTAAAATGCAAAAGAAAAATTCCTTTCTTAAACTCATTCCATTTATGCATGCAATCAGTTATTCAGTCAAGAATGTTGGACACCGACTGTATCTTGAGGCTGAAGGTACATAGCAGTGAGATGGACACCAATAGTGAGTAGTGAGGGTTGGTATGTTGTAGCTTTCTTTCTTTCTTTTTTGCTGTACTGGGTTTGAACTCAGGGCTCCGTGCCTGTCACTTGAGCCACATCTCCAACCCAGTAGACTATATCTGAATGAGCCTTACCCACTGTCTAGAGGCTCAAAGCTGAAATTTAGAAGTTACCCTTGAGCCACCACCTCTTCTCAACAGACCCACCCTACCCCTTACCATGTCCTATTTGTCCTACTTCCAAAATATAGCTCTCCTGTCACCTCCTGCTGTATCATCAGTGTGTCTCACCTAACCAAGGGTAGCCTACTTTCTCCCCAGCAGTCCTTGTGGTAATGACGTTGGGTCTTGCTTATTGCCCCAAGAATGAAATCCAAACTCCTCCTATGACCTGCAGGGATATATGGTCTAGCCCTCTGCCCTCTAGACCTCATCTCCTGCCCCACCCTGGCCCACTGAGGTCTGGTTACCCACACCGTATCCTGCCCCTCCCCTTCCAGGGCAATTGTGACTTCAGGGCTTAAACTCTTCCCATTTCTCTGCCTGACTCTTTCCGTGGCCTTCCCCTGACTGAAACCTTTTAATTCTTTGGAGTCTCCTATCTGTTCCCCTTCAAGAGGCCTTTTAGAGCAACCCATGGAAAGGCAATTTTACCCTTCTTAACCTTGAGCCTCCTTAGTCCCTAGCTCAGAAAACGCCACAATCTGCAATTTCAGTCATCTCTCTGATCAATGGGTTCCAAATCTGTGGCTTCAACCAATTGTAGATTGAAAACATTTTTTAAAAGTATCTGTACTGAACATGAACAGGCTTTTTTTCTTGCCATCATTCTCTAAATGATGCAATATAACATTTATTGACATAGTATTTCCATTGTATTGGATATTATAAGTAATCTAGAGATGGTTTAAAGTAAATGGGAGGATGTGCACAGATGCAAATATAAGAGACTTGAGCATTCATGGATTTTGGTATCTGTGGGTTATCTTGGAATCAGTCCCCCATGTATACTGAGGGACCACTGTACTTAGATGTTGGGTTTGCTATCTATTACTCCAACCTACATTTCCCATCTCTCTTGTTCACTACCTCAATTACAGAACCTTGCAAGGACCTGAGTCACAGGTGGTTTCCCATGCTGTTTTTGATAAGCTGAATGAGGTAATGTGTAGGAATTTCAGAAATTCCTAAAGCAGAATAGGGACAGAGCTCCTTAGCATGCTGTACCCTGCAGCCTCAAGATCATAGTCATATATGGGAAAGTGAGACTTGTACCTTCTCTCTGTGGGTCTGAGTCTCATCTGTAAAATGAAGCAGCTGCTGAGAATGTAGAAAAACTGGAGCCCTCACACATTGTTGATGGTAGCATTGACTGGCTCAATTACTTTGGACAACTGTACATATACAAAATATGTTCAAAAATGTCATCACAGCTTCATTCAGAATAGTTATAATGGGCTGAATTGTGACCCCCCCCAAATTCATATGTTTAATCCTAACCCCCCCAATACAATTAAGGTTAAGTGAGGTAGGCTTTTATTCAATATGATTGGTGTCCTTATAAAAAGAGATTAGGGGATACACACATATATGAAACACCATGTGAGGACACCGGGAGAAGATGGACTTCTACCAGATAAGGAGAGAGTTCCTCTGAAGAAACCAAGACTGCCAATGCCTTGATCTTGGACTTCTAGACCCCAAAATCATGAGAAAATAAATTTCTGGTGTTTAAGTTGCTTGGTGTATGGTACTTCATTATGGCAGACTTAGCAAACTAGTACAGTAACCAAACTTAGAAATAACCCAGATGTCCTAGAATAGAATAGAATAGAATAAATAATAGCATATTCTGTAATAAGAAAAACAGATCAAATACTATGGTTCCATTCATCTGAAATTCAAGAACAGGCACCAGTGATCTATGATGGTGGGAGAAAAACAGTGGGGAAAAGTAAAGGCAGACTGGGGAAAAACATGAGCAAACACTGTGATGCTGGAGATGTTCTAGATCTTGATTAAATGATCATTACATGATGATCTCATTAATTGAGCTGAATTAATTAATTGCTTGAGCTGCTACACTAAGATTTGTGCACTCATTTTTTTTTAAGTCTAAACAATGAAGAGTATAGTGATTCATCTTCAGGATTTCTTGGAACTCTAGTATCTTCTAAGACTAACTAAAAGCTGCTGGTCTAGGGAGGCCTGAAAAGGAAAAGAGGGGTGGAGAGAAAAGGAAGGAAGGAAAGAAGGAAGGAAGGAAGGAAGGAAGGAAGGAAGGAAGGAAGGAAGGAAGGAAGGAAGGAGAATGTGAGTCAGGGAACCAGAGGGCAAGGGATGAAAAGGAAAAATAAAAATTGCCAAGAAAACAGGCCATTTCAGTCTGCAATTGAAGCAAGCTAAAATGCGATTTATGGCCCTTCCGGGAATGTTTAGCAATTCTGAACTTCACTCTCCTTGAAATATTAGGAGGAGAGCACAGGGCAATTGCAGTCCCTCCTCCATTACAGCCTGCAATGGGAACCATCCATTTTCCAGCAGTAGCCCCAGCGAGGCCAGGCCAGAAAAACTCCTGTCCTGTGGTGTATTGTGAATTTGATGTCACCTTACATTTATGTAGCCAGTCCCCTCCAACATCGGGCCTGGGATGAGAACTAGCATAGTGACTATTTTGTGACATTGTGGTACAATGGGAATTGGTTCAGAACAAACAAGGAGAAATGTTGAGCCAAGAAGCCAGACACAAAAGAGTCTGTTCTCTGTGAGCCGGTGTGTATAAGGTGCATGAAGGGAGTGGACCCCTGGGAGTCTCTGGGAAGGGTCTCTTGGGTTCTGTTTTGCCATCTGAATCAGAGTAAATAGGTATGTTCATGCTGTGAAAATTCATCGCACATATTCATGAATTGTGCTGTACATATGTTATATTTCAATAAAGAGTTTGCTATTTAAGTAAAAAGAGGAAAGCCAAGCACCAATGGCTCACACCTGTAATCCTAGCTACTCAGGAGGCAGAGATCAGGAGGATCATGGTTCAAACCCAGCCCAGGCAAATAGTTTTCGAGACCCTATCTCAAAAAAACCCTTCACAAAAAAAAAAAAAAAAAAAAAAAAAAAAAGACTGGTGGAGTGGCTCAAGGTATAGTCCCTGAGTTCAAGCCCCAGTACCACAAAAAAAAAAAAAAAAGAAGGTACAGGATGGAGGGTGGGAAAAGTAGGAAAAGGCTGCTCTGAATAGGGAAGATGAAAAGAGGGTGGAACCCAAGGAAGAAACAGCAGAGAAATTACTTGGTAATCCCTAGACCTGGGTGAGAACGCCAACAAAGAGGGACTGGCCGGGCCTGGCCATGACATTGGGAAGTGCTTAGAATTCCACTGTGCTCCTTTGGGAGTCTTTGCCGTCACTCATCACATCTGCAGGCATGTTGGCTCCACCCTCACCCTCTTGATTTGCTGGTACTGGCCCCTCCTTGGGCATCCCTCCTCCAAAAGCCTCTTTGGACATTTGTCATTCTCTCCAACAACCCCACCAGTCCAGGACTCAGTATCCCTTCTCTGTGCTCCCACAATTTCCCATGTACAGTATGGTCCTTAAGAATATGTACTGTGTCAAATTCATAGAGACAAAAAGTACAACCGTGGTTTCCAGGGGCTGGAAGGAAGGGTGAGTAGGGAGTTACTGTTTACTTGGTAGAATTTCAGAACAGATGCTGAAGATAGACACTAGGGATGGATGCCCAACAAGGTGAATGTTCTGAATGTTGCTGAAATGAA